ATTATTCATGAAAAGAGTACAAAGAAAATGTAGCAATGCCTAAGTCAGTCTGCCATTTATTCCGAATTACAATCCTGGGAAAGCACTGCTTAACGAAAGCGATAAGCTCTTCCGTTAGAGACAGGCCTCCCTCAGTTCTCCTCAACAGACCTTGCAAGTGGCCTGTATGGAACCAGGGACGAAGTGTGCAAAGACAGGCTATGTTAATATGGTAGTATCTTCGTTGTGCTCTTCCTAACTTCCAACATTTTGTGCCATCTAAGTACAGATTTGAATACTAGTCCACCTTTAAACTTCCAATGACTGCCATACTATCAACAGATTGAGAGTCTCTTTGAAAGCTTCCTTCACATCCGTTACATTTTGAGATGTGTCCTTTTAGCTTCATTAAAAAGAAAGGATTGGAAGATTCAGGAATGATGGGTTTCGGCGGTAAAGGAAAACCTTGGGGCACAGATGGTTGGGGTGGACGCATACCGCTAAATGAATTGATAGGTTAATAATTAAAAATAAGCAAAAGATAAAATAAAAAAAGATAAAAAACAAATGAACCTGGGGGTTCGATAGTTCCTAGAGGATCTCCGGGTAACTTCGGAGACCCTCGGATAGTTTTCGGTTAATTCTCGGAGTATATATTCGGAGCTCGTCCACTCTTCGGAAAGAGAACCACTCGCGATTTCCAAGACGCGAGGGACTGAGCGAATCGACGTTTCTTCTTGAAACTCATTGTCCTGACTTTCTCTCTTTCTCCCCAACAGAAGTATCTCCTTTCCCTGAAGATGAGCCATGTTTCGTTGGGAACATGAATGGACGTGTTACATCCTCTCGGCTAGATTAAAATCTAAGTCGAGAATTTATTAATTTGCGCTCTTCTCGTCGCTTTTTTTCTTGTTTACATCCATTTTAGCAAGGATGTAATTTCGCATGCTTGACTATTGTACGTCATAGCTTCGTCCTAACAAAGATGACGGATTTCAATTTGAAAATGCCGATATTTGGAGCGTAATTGTTGCGCTACTAAAACGCTTTTAGCTCAAACTAATAGCCGGTTAGGACAATGCAAGCAAGAAACTTTTGATCTAAGTAAACTTTTTCTAGACCTAAGCAAGAAATTCCTCGGCACAATCAGCCTACTGCACTTCACTCTCTGATTATTTTTAATTCAGAATGATTTCGTCTACAGAACGAGGACCATCTAGCCGTTTTTCTATTTTTGTGTGGTAGTTCACGACAAATCTATGCACCCACAATGTCACCCGCGTGAGTTGTAACCAACTCGACCGATTTTCAGGATTCAGTCTCCACCTGTTACCTTTGACGACTTCAACAGAAACAAAACTGTGTGGTGAGAGGCTTAAAAGGTCTTCCTCTGCTTGATTTTGACCTTTAGACCCTCCTCGATCTTCTTTGTGGCCACTCGTTTTCTGCTTAAGAAGGAAAATCCGCCTTTTTCCACCAATTGCAAATTGAAGAATTGCTTTGGTTTTCTCTGCTTGCAATTAACGTATTGCCATTACAGCGAGCAAGTTAAACGTTGGATTTCTCTAATTCTGTTCGACATGAAAGGACGACAGAACTCTTTTCCTTCACCGCAATTCTAAGAGAGAAATCCTTGCTATCTGAACAAAAATATATGTTTTCTAAAGGGATATTCAAGGCTTTTTAAGATGGTAGCTGATAGACGGCAACTGGTGACTTCATTCGTGCTGTTGTCTTTGTAATGCTCTCTATCGAAGCTTCCACGAAGGTGTGGACGCTGCTACATATCTCCACTTTTGACTCTCTTAAACTGCTAAGGATTGTGATTTCTTTCAGGATCTCCAACTTTGAAAACCATTACTGAGCTCGCACAGCGATCTTTTGAGTAACAGGATCATCATATCCAATACCCATTATCCACAAATCTTGAGTTAAAATCTTTCCCTGAGCTACGAACGGACTGGCGAAACCTAACGGATTAAATGCGTCAGTTACTATCCTCTCGATAGACCTCTTAGTACGAACATTTCCCACCACTGAAGTTGTGACTCGAGAAGAGAAAACATCTTTCCGAGCATTCCTCGGAATCCCGAGGGTCTTTATGCCCGACAAGGTGTCTAGGTTAAGGTTAATTGCGAGTGCCATGAGTTTCTGTGGAATGGCTGTAGCTCCTCCGGAGAGTAAATTAACCACACATGATCCTTCTTTCTTGCTTTATTCCACATATCTTGAAGTTCTTTGAACAACTGGATTGTACCATCACTGTCATTCAAGTTAAACACAAAGAGTTGTACATGTATGTCGATTCCTGGACAGTTTCGGAGGCAAGTGGGAAATTCTTTTAGTTATTTCGTGATGTTTCCTGAGACACCAACTGGGCACGAAGTAGATGTACTTCCAAACAAGACGTGTTTAAAGTCATAATGATCGGGATTTCCATCAACTTCCAAATTGCTCCGAAGAAATCCAAACATCAAACTGTCCATAGACCGAATGCGTATTTTTAACTACATTTCACTGACGTCACATGTAACTGCTGCTTGAAAACGGCGAAATCGCTGGAGGCCTTCGAACAGATTTGCCTCAAGCTTGGGGTCCGGTAGATTTTTATCTTTAAGATGCAACTTGAAACTTTGTACTGGCGGAAGATACGCTTCTCGTCTCTGTATAGGACCCCTCGGGACGGCAAACAGGGAGGTGGGGGAGGTACCACTGACATTGCGGATCTTTTTTGCTTGAGGTACACTAAGAATTTACACTTTTCGATAACGATAACGTTCTGATAACGGTCTTCTCCGAGTGAATATTGGTGAGTTAGACCCTTTTCTGTATTTCTAAGGCGGCTGAAGGCCATCTAATAGCTGTTCGGTAACGTTGGACTTTCGTGCTTCTACGGTTTGGCAACTTGGTGACGCTCTCCATCACGAACGAATGACCTGAACCTTATCAAGGACTATCTCCCCCTCTTTTTATCGGTATTCCACAATTTTCGTCGATGCCTAAGGTGTCAACTTTCCAAAACAGATTCATAGAATAGTTCAGTCCGTTAAATGCTTTTGATCTGCTAAAAAGAGGTACAGGCGAGATTAGTTCTGTGAGTTTCCTCCTGGGCAGCCAATACTCGACCACCCTAACGGCCTTAGCCCGGCGATTGATTCCCAGTTCTACTCTCAAGTCAACATTTAACCATATGTAGAATCATGACATGGTCTGTGGAATGTTCTTCCAAACCATAGTAAAGAGGAAGCTTCCAGATTCAAGTTTACTATGTCGCTTATATTCGAAGAGAGTAGCTACTGTACTAACAAGGGTATCGGAAAACTTTTCAAGCTCTTGCCGTTAAATTTCCCTCCTGAATAGATTTAATTTTCTTTAATTCATCCAGATAATTTTGAAGTGTATCTCTTTCGCCCCCAAACCTTCTTTTGAGAATATTCTCGCCTCCTCGCATGTTTCCTCTGAAAAACTGAGTTTCTGAGATGGATTCTTCTGTCTTCCCATGAAGGTATGTCTTTAATCGTAACATCTTGTACTACGCAGGCTCTTCCGAATCCTCCTCGATGCTTTCGAAGGTGGTCCAGAAGTATTTGAACATCGTCACCGTTAAATGTTGGCAACCTGATCTATTCGAGAGCTCAATCCGCAGATAAACTCAAATCCCAACAGCGTCGAAATGAAGGCATTTGAACCTTACTTTCTTTCAGCCAAAAATTGAATTCACCAGAAGCACTCTGCCTGCGAGAAAAATTTTCGACGACGATTTTGGAGACAAAGGGGAAAGAGAATCCTTAACTGTTGCAATCTCCTTGTCCGTAGACGTGATGTTTTATCAATTTCTGCGTTTGATCTAGCCACATTCATTTTGTCACCTCGCTTGACGTAAACCATGACGAAATCTTCTAACATATGTATTGCATCAAGTCTTTTTTCTTCGATGGTTTCCAGGGTTAGTGGGATCGTT